GTTTAGCGTTAGCTTCTGCTAATGTTTTATATGTTAAGCAGTTTAGCGTTAGCTTCTGCTAATGTTTTATCTGTTTAGCGATATAGGTTTGTTTCTGCTAATGTGTTATCTGTTTAGCGGTATAGCATTAGCTTCTGCTAATGTGTTATCTGTTTAGCGGTATAGCATTAGCTTCTGCTAATGTGTTTTCTGTTTAGCAGTTTAGCATTAGCTTTTGCTAATGCTTTTTTCTGTTTAGCAGTTTAGCATTAGCTTCTGCTAATGCTTTTTTCTGTTTAGCAGTTTAGCATTAGCTTCTGCTAATGCTTTTTTTCTGTTTAGCGGTTTAGCTTCTGTTAACTTTTACCTGATTAGCAGTTTAGCATTTTTAGATTCTTCTTCAGCTGATTTGTGATTATTGAAGCTAACTTCTTGGTTAGCTGGGGGCAGCCATCTTGAATTGCGTTGCTGCACTCACACGGTCCGTCTCTTGGAGAGTAGTTGACGAAACAGAAGCCCAGCATCATCAGGACCACCGTCCTCCAGGAGAGTTTCCGCAGCAGCTGCAGGCGGCTGACTCCTCTCCTCTGCATGGAGCTGAAAGCCAGGACCACCGAAGTCCCCATGATGAAGACAATCCTGGCAGCGGGAACAGGACCGTGTTATTTAAACATGGAGGACCGGAGGCTTCAGGTGGGTCTTCTCAGACCTTTACCTACCAGGGCATGACGAGATCCGCTACAGTCAGACCTGAAGACATTCAGAGGCTGAGTGAGAATCAGGAACTTCACAAACTTCACGTAACAAAGTTTTTCCTCTCATTTATTTTCCAGTTAAAGAAAATGGGATTAATAATCTGATTAATAATCWGAACTCTTGATTTGTGTTTTATTGTTTACAACCTGGATTTCATCAGATGAGACTTTAGTTCTTGACCAGCAAAGGAAACTCGTCTGGTATAAAACAAACAGCTCTTCGAGCTGAGATCATCCTCACAGTGAAGCACGGCGGTGGCAGCATCATGATGTGGAAACTGCTCAAAGTTAAAGGACAGAGAGATCCTGAGATCTGAGACTGGGACAGAGGTCCACCTTCCGGCAGGACAATGTCCCTAAACACCTGCTGAAGGAGAACTCCTCTGGTTTAAGAAGATGGACTTGATGGACCAAGATCAAGAAGATGGACTTGATGGCCCAAGATCAAGAAGATGGACCTGATGGACCAAGATCAAGAAGATGGACCCGATGGACCAAGATCATGAAGATGGACCTGATGGACCAAGATCAAGAAGATGGACCTGATGGACCAAGATCATGAAGATGGACCTGATGGACCAAGATCATGAAGATGGACCTGATGGACCAAGATCAAGAAGATGGACCCGATGGACCAAGATCATGAAGATGGACCTGATGGACCAAGATCAAGAAGATGGACCTGATGGACCAAGATCATTAAGATGGACCTGATGGACCAAGATCATGAAGATGGACCTGATGGACCAAGATCATGAAGATGGACCTGATGGACCAAGATCATGAAGACGGACCTGATGGACCAAGATCATGAAGGTGGACCTGAAGGACTAAGATCACAGAGACGGACCTGTAGAGTCCTGCTA